AGCTAACCACTAAAGAATCTATGGATCCAAATGTCCCTCTCTGGACCAAGCCAAGATGCTCTCAAAATCTTCTTCCAAAGTTGCATAAGAACTCCAAAAATAGTCTCTTTCTCTCTCACAATGGATGGAACCGATCTAGGGCTTCTCACAGGGCTCTCTGGAGATCAGGGAGGCGGAAATGAGGGCTTAAGGACCTTTAAATAGAACACAAAACCGAAAAATTAGGGTTTCTCCAAACAGCTCCAACTCGCCGAGTTGGTCACTAAACCCACACGGCCAAAACGAATGCACTCGTCGAGTTGCTCTGCTAAGGAACATGAATTTCTCAAATATGATACCTGGAAATTTCAGGATGTTACAATTTTAGGATGACGTATTAGGGTTTTTTGATGGGTAGACGGTTGTTTTGATGGGGGTGATGAGGGGAGTTGTTTTCTGTACCACGTTAGGAGCAGAGCTTGGTTTCCGAGAAGTGTGGGGACGAAACTTTCTTTCTACCTTGATGACCACTGACACTGCTTGATCAATGGATCGGGGCTCGAACAACTGGACCTCCGATCTTATGTCTTTCTAAAGCCCGTTAATGAATTGACCCAAGATCACGTCATTTGGAATGTTTTTAAGTAGGGTAAGTAGTCTAATAAACGAAAGTTGATATTCATGTACTGACCATATTTGAATTAGGCATAACCATTGCTGGTAAAGTGTACCTGCGTAAATGGGACGTAACTGATGAAGGAGGAGTGTCTTCAGTTCGTTCCATTGCGTTACCGGTCTTCTGGCATGCTCCCATTGAAACCAAAGGAGAGCATCCCCTTCAAGAGCCACCACTGCGACCTCCATCTTGTCACTCTCCGAGAGCTTGTAGAAATTAAAATACCGCTATGCTCTCAAGATCGAACCATCCAGGTTCTCTCCATCGAACAAGGGCATCTCTAACTTCTGGTACCTCCAGTTGCTTCCTCCGTTATGACTATCACCTCCTCCGTTCCCCATTCTTGCTCCGTCGGTGTCACTGTTCGAAGTCCCACTGTATCACTTTGGAGTTCCTTCCATGGAAATTATCGGTGTGCTGCTTGATTCTCCTTCCCCTATAGTCTTTCCCTGGTTACCTCTGGTAATGGCCCCCAAGATCTCCTCAAACTTTTGTTCCATTCTTAACTGATTCTGATCAATCTTCAGCTGGATAGAAGCTATTGAGTCAGCTTGGTGTTGAATCTAATAACCTTGGTTCTCCAAACGATCATACAAGGTACCAATCTCTAACTCCAGCGATTCCACCCTCTTAACTTGAGCTCCTCCCGTCTCTTTCCCTCCTCCTCCTTTCTCTCTAGCCATACTCCAGGGAACTACTCTGATACCAATCTGTTATGGATTAAACAATAACAAGAGCAAGGAGTGAAAATCATATATTACTGCTTCATTAACTGATAACTGATTCCAAAGAAAAGATAGTAATAGCTATTCGAGATGCTACAGTCTCCCAAGGAATAGAAACTTCTAAGAATGATGATTATGGCCTCACTGAGGTTGTCTCCCCCCTTAATAGGGCACGAATGACAACTGGGGCTCCAAATTCCCATTTTGCCCCTGCTGCTCCATTACCTCTACAATCATGTTGGACGTCCCAGTGGTCCCCCTTCCTTTGGAATATTTTTCTGTTTTTTCTTCTGTCTATGAATTTGAGTGGTGGGTGCATAACATCCTTAGGTTGAAATTAATTTGACATTAACTTTAAACTTGGCTAACCATATAATTGGATGTCTAAGTGTGAAAGAGTTCGGAATAAAACACTTCAAAAGAGTTGCTTTAAATTTTATTCATGTATGTTTCAACTTTTGGGAAAGGTTCGTCTAGTGGTCAATGTGGTTTGTGGCCTGCGGTCGAGATTTTAACATAAGAGATAAGACAACAAAGTTGGTTCTTATAAGTTTACCCTCATTAACCAAAAGAGCCTGGTTGTTGGTTTTTTTTTTTTTTTTTTTTTTTTTTTTCCGTTTATAATCTTTTATTTCAAAATTTTATAATGTGTTTAACCCTTAACATTTTACTTTTAAGTATAGATTGTTTGTTTTTGATTTGTTATTTGAAAATTGAACTAATTAATTTTCAAATGTACAGGTAAGTGTATTTTAAACAATGTGAATGAATTATACGTTTTGATCTCTAATGTTTTCATATGATTAAATCTAGGGGTTACATCTCCACGCAATACAATGGAATCTGTAGAAATGATTAAATAGAAAAAAATGGCAACATATTTTTGGATCATATTATAGAATTTGATTAAAATTTTGATTAGAATTGTACGCATGAGAAGTAAGAACATCTCAAATGGTTAACATATACTATCATATATAATTATTGTCACCTCATTATTCCATTAACTTTAACCTATAATTAATAGCACCTAATCTATCATTATCTATTTAAAATGTTCTATAAAATCTCATCTATTTAACTAGTCATTTTTTTAAACACACATCATATTTTATAGACGTTGAATGCCACAAACGAAAATAGAAATAAAAGGATATACCAGATCTTTATTTTATAAATGTAGAATACAAAAAAAATTAATGTCATAGTTATAAAAAGAGATTGAAAATATTATATACTTGTTATAAATTTATATTTTATAAATAAAATATCATTAAATATTTGATAGAAATAATTACTAGTAAATAAATTTAAAATATTTAAAACTAAAATATAATTAAATGGTAAAAGGAAATATGATTAGATGATGAGGGGCTAAATATACAAAACATGAAAGTATATTATTGACTATTAACATATATCGAGTAATACAAAAAAAACAAATAAATTATTGGCTCCAATTGTGATAAGTTATAAATAAAATAAAACAAATAATAATAAGCTATAAGATAACCTCTCCCATTAGAGATGTTATGAGATTATTTAATCAAATTATGTAAAGTAGTTTAATATTTTTATGGATAAACAAGAACTCAGCTTCGTATTTCAGTGATATTTTATGTTGAGATAAATTACAGAGAGCTTATCATTGAACTTGTTATTACAATTTACAACGTTGTAGTTAGTTTGTACATCGAATGGTATTTTAAGTATCAAGTTCAAAGGAAATTATTTACAATTTAATAAATTAATGTGGTTTCAAAGCTTTGTAAAACTTCATATTTCAATAGTGTGATATATAAGAACATACTTTATAATGATATAAAAAAATATTTTTTAGTGATATACATAAAAATGAAATTTAAAACCGAAAATTAAGACAAATTTATATAATTATTATATAGATAAAGATGAGATATTGTCCATAATATATTTGAATTTATACCCAACATTATGGAATAAAAATTATGATAGATAATTAGATTTTGCAACTTTAATCAAATATAAGAACAACAAATTAAATAACAATACAATTATTGTTGATGAGATGCAATTTGTTAGTTATAGTAATGGTTATAAACTTATATAAACTATATCATTGACATGTATTTTTAAAGTTTAATAATTACTGAAAATAGCATCATTCTTTGTCTTTAATGATGCACTTTAGCAAACACTCGCATAACTTTATCCAATTTTAACTTGGAAATTTAAAAATAATAACACAAAGCAAGTTTTGGCTGTCACGTCATAAAGTGTGCTATATAGAGAAAATATGTTATTATAAAAGTATTTATTTTTATTTAGTAATTTCTAGATTACTTAACATATATCATCACCGACTTATTGTTGATCTTCATCAACTAAGTTAACATATATCATCACCGACTTGTTGTTGATCTTCATCAACTAAGCTCGGTGTTTCTTCATATTCATTGATTCAACATTTTCTTCTTCATTGATTTAGATCAATGTCTTCTTGATCCTCGTTGATTTAGATCATCGCCTTCTTTATCTTCATCTATTTAGATAAAAGCCTTACCCATCCTTATCCACTTACCACAAATGGCATGTCATTCACATTCTTTGATCTGTCTACCAGTGTTTACTTCATTTTTAAGACCTATCTTCTTTGTCTTCATCAAAACATTATAATGTTTGCAACCACACCCAAATGTATGACCAATATCATTTACAATATCTTGTTTGTTTTTTTTTTGGTTGATACTACAATCAATACGATACACATAAACAAGTTGTTCATTCGCTCGAATTAGATTTCAACTCCTTGTGTTTGTGTTGACCCTGAATTGTAACATCTATCGTGGATACTTTAACAGACGTGCCATGGTTCTTTAAGATGTAGTACGGTCTTGCTGAGATATAGTCATATAATAATATCAAACCAAGTTATACACTAAATTTAAATAAGGGTGCCCTTTAAATAATACAGTAATATTGTATTTTGTAACAGTATATTATAAATAATAAATCAAACACTCAAAAGAACCGATAATCAAATTCTCTAAGCAAGACGCGTCAAAATATATATCTCGTGCAGTGCACCACTTGGAAACTTCCTGTAACTTTGGGTTGCCTTCTTATATATTATATTATATATCCCTCATTTTTTTACAACAAAATGTTGTGATCTAATTTTCCCATTTTGTAATAACATAAAATTTTATCGACCTACTTTTTATTCGGTTTTCAATCTCTAAGAACTTATATGAAAACAATAATCACGAAACGTTATCAAAGAATACTCAAAACTACATATATATGAAGCCAATAACATAGTCAAGATCACATTTAATCAATGACTTGTTTTGATTTATTCAAAAAAAAAAAAAAAACTTTTACGGTGTTCATATTTGAAAATTGACCACAACAAGTTGCATCGATCACCACACAATCCACGACTTTGATGGACAACCATTCCATCCCTTTTTCTTACTTCTTTAAATCCTCCATCCGATCTCCTTCAAAATTCATCGTTCTCGTGTTCTCGAGCCGATCCCGACCTGACTCATTTTCGGATTTCTTCTCCCTCCACCTTCCTCTTCGCCAGTCCATCTCCTCACCCACCACCTTCCACCTCCCACAACTCCCATTCCTCCATGGATCTTTCCGATCTTCATCACCTTTTCCAAATGTTCGATCACAATGGTGACGGAAAGATCACAAGACAAGAGCTATCAAAGTCTCTTGAAAGCCTCGGGATTGACATTCCTGATCCTGATCTTGAACACATGATTGATCATATCGACTCGGATGGTGATGGGATGGTGGACATAGAGGAATTTGAGGTGTTGTATAAGATGATATTAATGGAGGAGGAGAGGGACGAAGAAGAGGATATCAGAGAGGCGTTTAATGTATTCGACAAAAACGGAGATGGGTTCATTTCGGTTGAGGAGCTTCAATCAGTGTTGATGTCGCTTGGGTTGAGACAAGGTCAAACCATCGAGGATTGTCGACTCATGGTTAATAAGGTGGATGTTGATGGCGATGGGATGGTGGATTATAGAGAGTTCAGGCAAATGATGAAAGGTGGTGGCTTTGCCAACTTTGAAACCCTTTGACATTAATTTTCATTCGTTTGAACATTCTTTCTGTTACCATCTTGTTTGATCATCATGTATCTTTCCGAATTTCAATTTCAATCTAAGAATCTAATCGTTTCTTTATTATATTTTGTGGTTATAGTTGACTCGTGTTTGTGTTCTTTGAATCGTAAATAACTACTCAATTGGAACAAAACCATAACTGGAACCCAACCGACTTATAAATTTATGGGTCGCAAAAAGTTTTTGCAATGGTTAAAATTTATCAAAAAAAATTGGAATTCAAAAGAATAGGGACACGAAGGAATTATAATTTATCACGTGTTTGATTGGTATAATATAAAACTTGATTCAATCACATTACTTTACAATGATTGAGTGATGCGTGAACAATGGAAAAAAATAGGAATATGGTTTGTTTTGACGGGTTTATGAAGAAGATTTGATATTTTAATGAAAAAAAAAAAAACAATGGAATTCAATTCTCAGCATCCTCGTCTATCAACACTGGAATTCGAGATTCCAGTTCCTTACGCAAACCAAACACATGCTAGGGTTAAACATACATTTTGTTTTAACGGGAGAAATATAATAAGCTCATTCGAAATCTTTATTTTATCTACTTCTATTCTAATAACTAAAGATCTAGTTTGCCATATATCATTTCGTATGAGTTTTGATAGATATTTTTAAAATAAATAGTATTCACATGTAAATTTTTGTTTTGTTTTTTTTTTTTTTTTTTAATTTTTAAAATTAAAAAGTCTCATAATTATATATGTAAAGTATTAGATATAATAAATATGATACTAAAATTCCAATGGATATATTTATTCTTTTCTTATTTTAATACATGAGCTTCACATATAATAAAAGAACGTATAAAAGATCTTAAAATAGTCACGAGATTATAAAAAAGCTTGATAGGAAAGTAGGAAACCAGTAGAAAAATTATTATACCTATTACTTTTTTTTTTTTTTTTTTAATTTACAAATTCTCAAAGAAAAGTAATATAAAGATCGAGAGTAATTTTGTAGAATTTAAAAAGCTTAATTAAATTTTAACTATTTGAAAAAGTGTGAAAAGTAATATAGAGGTCAAGAGTACCTTTAATAGTACTTTTTTTATAAATGTTTTATTATTATTTGAAAAAGACAATAATAGTTTTTTTTAATCATGGGAAAATAGAGTTCTTTTAACATACCACTCCAACCATTTAAACGTCTCAACCCTAAGTCCCTAACATCATTGTTTGAAATAAAAAATGTGTAAAGAATGGTGCAAAGATGAATCTCCAACCTTATATTACATTTTACATATAAACAATATATCCTAAATATGTTTTTTTTTTTATTAATAATAAAGTTGTCTTATAACCTTTTGTTACAATTTTAAAAATATATTTAAAACAATCATTACGTCTAAATATAGTGATTAGGTATATTTTATTTCTTTTAAATATATTTGAAATAATTGTTATATTTAAAATATAATTACACAATTAACGTGAATCAAAATTAATAAACTCGACCTTTAAACAACTAAAATAAAGTATATATATACATTAAATCAAACTTAAAAGACCAATAAAGACAGTCAAATCCTTCACAACACCTAATTTGACAATAATGAAGATATAAAACCAAAAAATTTGGTGTTATATTATTTAAAGTGGACAATATTGTGTTTGGGTTGATGAAAGATGAGGATGTACCATAGGTACCTCCATGAATACCATCCCACCATAGAATTGCTTTCAAAATGCTTGTTTTATCAGGTGGATAACACGTTTCATCATTTTCAATCTATGCATTGTATGCTTGTATGTTATACTTATACCATATAGTTTTGTATATTTTTAATTATTTTATGAATTAGTATTGTATCTTTTTAATATTTTATGAATTAGTTTTGTATTATTTTAACTAGTTTGTGTTTACTAAATTAAAAATCTAATGAGTTGAAAGAGATGAGAAACATAAATTTTCATATGTTGTAGGACAGAAGGATGAAAGTGAGAGAATAGGAAAAAAATTAATGTGACGGTGATATGAGTTGTAAGGAATATGAAGTAGAATTCTCTTCACTCTTATTTAAATAACACCAAATTTGATGTAAAATTTGTGTTGTTAGAATGTATTTACATCATCTTTTACACCAAAAATGCCAACATAATATATGGGATTAAGTTGGCCATCTCCTCCTACAAATTATCTCTTTTATAAGTTTGGCTTCTACATTTAAAATAACTTTTCATTCTAAATCTTAAAGAGCGATTGTGATTGTTTTTTGAATTCTAAAAATGTTTTTGGACAAAAATATTTATTGACTTATGATAGTGATAAAATGAGTTTTTAAAAAGTTTTTTGATAAGTTTTTGTGGTGAAAAAATCAGTAAGTCAGTGAGTTAAAAATATTTATCTTATTTTTGAAGTTATTATGGTTAAAAAGCTAAAAATAAGTTGCAAAAAAATCAAGTTTCATATGTTTTTCAAATCTCTTTTTTGAAGGATTTTTAAAGCTAACAAAAAAATCATTTTGAAAAATGCTTTTGAGATCGCCAAACAATTTTTTTGATTTATTGTCTTTTCAGAAAAAAGAAAAAAAAAACAATACATTGTTTTGAAAAACAATCCCAAACACCTTGTTAATCATATTTACATGTTAAATGTTCATTATCATCAAACTAGTTAATCTATTTTATTACATATACAAAATATTAATAATAAAATATACTTTATAATAGATGTATATGTAAAGTCATATTGATTTGAGAAATATATTGTTTGTTCAAAGTGACAAACTAGATGAGGAACTTTTATATCGTTAATTTTAAGGAAAAAATTTGAAAATAAAGACATCTATAAAGGTTTTTATTATAATTTTTTACTATTTTTTTTCTTGTGGTTGTATATTCGATACAACCATCTCAATGTACTTGATTTTGAAAGATATATTGAAACTCAAAGCATGAAGAGAATAAGGAAACATTTAGAGTGGTTGTATATGGATGCAAAATTAACAAATAATAATTATTATATATCTAATTAAATGTAATTGACAAATGAACAGTTGGTTTTTCATATTATACATTCACCATACAGGTTTTGGATATTGCCACATTTAGTCCATAGAGATTTTTTCTTTACAAAAAAGTCTCTAAAGGTTTTTTTATAAAAAAAATCCCTAGGTTTAAGTTTTTTATGTATGTCGGCTCGTTTGACCCCTAATAGAAAATTTACTGATTACATTCCCCACAATATATTGTCATGTTTCGTCCCTATTCTTTTTTGGTTTCACACTTTAGCCATATGAGTTTTACATATTTGCAGGATTGCTCATTATATTTTTGCAGTTTTGTAAGTTTTGTCCACCCGTAAAACGGGGTGCTAACCTACTAGTTTACAACTAAATACGAACAATGTAGGACAGAAAATGTATAGTAGCATCCCATCATATTTCATTAAATAAAAATGGATGTTAATATAAATATTCAAAAACAAGATAAATATTCAAAATAAAGTCCCTTGTAACTATTACATTAACATACAGGAGGTAATAAAGTTCCTCAACAATAATGATTGTTGTAAGTTCATCTATAATATCCAGTTATCCACCACTAACCATTATAATTGTATAATTGTGAATTTCACATAATCACTACATTTTCTATCACTAACTATGAGATATCTACCATTAAACACAGTACTTCACATTATTTTTTTAATTAAATTTAATTCAAAAATACATTAGAAACATATATTTATTTAATACTAGTTTTTCATTAAATAAAAATACTACATTACAATAAAAAAATAACAATAAAAATCAAAATAAAAATAAAACACCTACAACTACCAAACAAAACTAAAAAAACTATCTCCTATTCCTATATTGGGCTCGTACGGACTATTTCATCACGAGAAAAATCTACAAAACTTCGCCTTCGAGATCGCCTGCTTTCATCTTCAAAATCTCCATATCGGTTTTTGTTTAAAGCGTTGTTTGCACCTCTTGGATGACATTTGTGTTTCTACCATTTTTTGCTCCACCCGACTCAACGTCTTCACCTTGGTTTCTTGAATGTAGGCATATCGATTAAATTTCTCTCCAAATTCATCAATAACACTAGAACCTGAAGCCAACAAACCCGCTTTTTCGTTTTATTCTTCTAACAGGCTGACAAAGAGGTTTCTCGTCTTCAAGATCGAACAGATCATTGTTGATGTTGATGTGTGTCCGCCTGTCCGATCGTTGGGAAATTGCATCCGGGTTGGCGTTTTTTCAAATTGATCCAAAGCCGCTTTGAAGACATCGAAATCGTTTGACCCTCTTTTGCGTATGTTTTGGAGGTTGTTGTAAATTTTTCAAAATTCAATGCATTTTAGTCGAATATCACATGACTTCGAGCTAATTTAATTGGAATTTCGACTTTCTTCCCGTCAACGCATAAAACACGCTTCAAACTTTTTTCCGTAAACAATTGAAGGTTTGATTATCTCCTTCAATTGGGTCTTGCGAAGCCGAAACTCACGCCTCCGCTAGCTTTTCTTCTTCCTCTTTTGTCCATGGTACCCATTCTTAGGTGGGTGGGGGGGGGGGGGGGGGTTCTTTTTGGTTGAGGTGGTGGTGGTGAAGGTTGTGTTTTCGAAACAAAATCCAATGAATAAGGTGGTTGTGATTGTGAAGGTGGTGGTTGTAACGATTGTGAATGTAATTGTTGGTGAAAGACCGGAAAATGTTGTTGAAAGATCGGGAAAGGTTGAAACTTACGTTGAAAGACCATGAAATGTTGGAATTGTTGTTGGAAAAGTAGTGTTTGTTGGATAAGGGAACTGGTTTGTAGCAAATTCATAAAACCATCTTGAAATGATTTCTTGGCCGGGAATCGACGGGGATTGTATCTAATGCAAATGTGTTCTCGGGTTTGCAGTTTGTATAGTATTGAGGGATATTTTTGTTGGTTGTGAAAATGTTGTGTGAATATTGTGTATAGAGAAAGAAAAGAATAGTGTAAAAAATGTATGTATAGTGTGGTATTTTGAAATTTAGCCGTTCAACAACTTCTTCAACGGTCAAAATCAATTGAGCCTTCCCATTCGTCGTTGCACCACGAAGCTCCACAAAAACGCTGGGCCACGATCGTCCGTTCAATGGTGTGCATGGACCACAATCGTGGCCCGCTAGACCGTGAAGCCATTCGTGCTAGGTATACATAATGGTCTAACTTGCAAAGCTTTACAACTAATTTAAAAGCATACAAAATCTTTCTTTATTTTTGTTTGAAAACAATGATTAGTTGTGTTGAAGGAGAGGTAGGCAGTAACATTAGGTAACAGGAGCAGTGAGAGGTCGATAGCCTTATGATATGGTGAACGGGCTCTTAAAGTGAAACCCAGGCACAACCACGAGCAGGAAATAAGTTCATAAATTATAATCGATTATGACTTTCAAACATTAATACAGTATTTGTATAATAAAAAACATATGTTATTTATTTTGGATTTTCGGATATCCGAAAATTTATAAAATGGTGTGAAAGTTGAGTCCCGGGTTGTTTCAAAATTAAGCAACAACATGAAAGGATAAACCAAATTTAGCACAGTGTACACAATAAAATGATGATTTGGTATAAAACAAGATAAACTTATAAAGTTATAAATATAAATTTATAAGTTTTTAATCCTTCAATTTTTAGAAAGACCTCCTCTATCAGGGAATAGTAATTGGTATTTCAATTAAACTGCTGAACACCAAAATCTTGAAACCTAAATCAAAATCACAACCACCTAATTCATCGGTACCTGGTGTTACCCTCCCTCCTTGAGGTCGAGGGTTCAAGACTCGTAAGAATATAAGTGGAGAATTAGGAGTAGTGAAGGAGTAGAATAGATTTGCCCTTCCAAAAAAAAAAAAAAAAAAAAATCAAAATCACAAATCCAGGGTTTTTTTTCCTGAACCAGTTAGCCAAACCAGGGATAAAAATTGGTCTCACTTAACCTAAAATCCGACGTGGATATTTGGCTTTCTAAATTGTCCTCTTTGATTTATAGTTATGAAACTTCCACTTTCTTATTATTATTAATATTATTATTGCAAATCAGTAACAACTTATTGGCTACAATACGAAGGAACAATCTATGAAGAAACATTGATGAGCTCTTGAGAAAACAAAACAAAAATCTTTGCAACGCTTTTCATTTGTAGAACAAAGAGGTTCAGACAACATTAACATTTAACATACAAAAAAATTACTATGAGTTTATTATTACCATCCATACTTGGCTTGTGTTTCAGCTTTTGTGAGAAAGCCTTTTGAGCGCCTTTCTGCCAATTCCATCTCTTTGGATCTCATATCAAAGTATAAAGATCCAATCTGATGTTTCCTCTTGTGCAGCTTCGTTGGCTTCCCCTTCCCTGAAGAAGCCGGCTGAAAATAAATAATCCAGAATAGGAGACTATAAGTACAGTTGTACAACATCAAAATCATTTTCAATCTTACAAATTGAAACAGGGTTTCTTACTTCTTACTATGAGATAAAGAAAAAAATATAACCAATTACCTGATATGAGGGCCCAAAAGCTATTCCAGTTGATTTGACTTGGTCTTCTCGTGGTCGATTCTTCATCAGTTCATCCTGACTAACCTCAATTATCTCATGCGGAATCTCATTCCTACCTCTCTTGCCAGGAACCCTAGTCATATTTTGTATAGCGGCCGCTTCTGAAATTTCTGGCTGCATATCTCCACTTGATCGATCAATCCACTTGCTTTCATACTGCGCATAGTTCCCATAATCACTGTAACCCTCGTAACTATTATAGTTTGCAGGATCTTCACTTGTTGGAGGAGCTGGGCCGTAGCTTGAATGATCCGTTTGAACATTCTCATACTCATACCCTCCATTATTGCTATAATCATAGCTCGCATAATCTGCAGTTGTTGTAACCACATTCTCATTTGAATTAGGATTCGCATATCCATTGTAGGTATTATCGTGGTTTACATAACTCTCATCAACAGACAAATTCACATTGGAAGAGTTATCAGTAGCGAGAGAACTGTTATTATGATGCTTCACCTGATTATCACTGGCTTTATTAACAGTGTCCTTAACAACTTTTGAATTTGATAATGCTGGAACTTCAGATTCCAAGATTGATCTTCGACCCATGCCGGCGGAGGAGGGCAAAGCTCCAAGTGAGCCCGAGTTCCTTGGCGCAGGGATACTCGACAAAAACGACTTGACAGAGGGCGCTTCAGGTATGGAACTATCCTTTTTCGTTTGTTCTTCCTTATCATCGTCTTCGTCTTCGTCGTCGTCATCAACAACTTTGCTCATTACAGGTGGCCGAAACTGAACAACTTTTTTAGGTTTAGGCCCCAGAGAAAACGGGTCAGATCTTTCGGTTTTTGGTTGAGGAAGTGAAGAAAATAAAGAGGCGGAGGAGGATGAATTGAATCCGGATTGTGGCTGTGCAACCTTCTTGGGTTTCGAAGTTGTTAGGGTCTGTGGAGGAGGGTTTGAAAGTTGGGATTTTGGTGGTGGGAGAGAAGATAAGAAGTTTCCCCCAAATTTGGTTGCGGGTTGCGAAGGGAAGTTTGATTGGCTTGCTTGATTCTGTTTACGTGGTTGTTGTTGATCTTCATCTTCATCTGAAGATGCATACGTAGCTAGCAAAGAATCCATCACCGAAATCTGGAGATAGAACCCCCTGATTAAATTGGGGAATATGTAGATAATATCTAGGGTTTTGATCAGAAAATCGATTTCTATTGTTGCAAGCAACTCGGAGATGTCGCCGACTCGCCGGGTTGAAAAGAATGAGTGAGGAGAGAGGTTGGTGGGCCAAAAATGAAATGGTCCACGACTCCAAGTTTTTTTGAAAGGTGAAATTTATTAGGGAATAGCCATGGTAATAAAAAAAAAAAAGATTTTCTACGATTTGTTTTAAAGACATCCATAAAAAATATTAATTATAAAAAATATTGTTATAATTAGATATAGAATATATTTATTATAAGAAATATTTTTTATTGAAAAAATATATATACATTAATTATTGAGAATATTACATATAATTAATGTATTTTATATTTAATTATGATAATATTTTATATAATTAATATTTTTTATAGCTGTCTTAAGGATATATATTAGAAAATCTAAAAAAAATGATAAACAAAACCGTATCTTTCGTTAGTAATCCAAACTTCGTTAAAATCACCTATCAAAATAGTATCACCCTCCCAACTACTAATAATGTGAAGTAACTGATTCCAAATAAGCTTTTTAAAATTAACATCTTAAAGAGCATAAATGAAGATAATAAGTAAACGAGTTTTAGTAGGAAGCCAAGTACCCTCCACTATCACCAAATTATCATCAGAATACACCTTATATTTATGAAAAAGATTCTTATCCCAAATAGAAAGAATTCCACCCGAAAAACCTCGTGAAGAGAAATAAACATAATCAAATTGGAGATTACCCCAAACCGATCTCACGACATGAGCATCCATATGCCTCATCTTTGTTTCCTATAAGGTTAGAAAAGAAATTTGATGTTTACCACACAAATTGTTTCATGTACACCAATAGAGTCATAGAATCTGACACTTGGTAGTATCAATAAGTCGTTAGGTTTGTGATATTTTTCAACATATTTTAGAAAAATCATTTTTCAAATGGCAAACCACTTCAATGTTGAACTTGTGGAGATTCAAACATAAGATTACTCTATTCTAAAATGTTTATCTCAAGTAATCACTACTAGGCTACGGTGATACTTTTTGAAAGTTGTTTATTCTAAATAAAACATAATGTAAGAAGAAAACAACACTGGTGTTGCACCAATGCGGTTTTAGTATCATCCACTGGTGATGGGTATTCATCACAACCATTGTAAAAAATTATCATATTAATTGGTTTTCTAGATTTACAACTCGAAAAATATTCAACATTTTCAGACAAGCTATCATTTTTTACCGACACTAACTATATGAATATTATCATGGAACAAGAATAACAAGTTGAGGTTAGCCCACTTGGCTAACATAGAGGTTCATAATCTAATAACTAACTAGGAGGTTCTAGGTTCAATCTCAGGTAGATGAGATATAAAAATTATTTTCCCGTCATTGATGATGGGTTTTGTTTAAATGTTAGTGATGCTCAAAGACTATTATGAGTCGAGGCAAGATGATGTAACTTTTGTAGATTATTTGAGTCCATTAGAAACATAACTCTTTCAAGATGATATTGAAAGTCAAACGGGATATCCAAACACATCTCAATATTAGGGGCCTGGAGGTCGGGAGTGCTAGGAGATGGATCGTCTACTTGGTTCTGGCTCGATTCTTGGTGTGGTGGTCTGATTTTTAAAGATCAATTTGACAATTTGACAGGTTGTTTGATCTTGCGATTGATCAGGAGGTAAAGGTTAGAGATTGTTGGGTTATGCGAAATTGGGTTTTTTCTTGGAGAAGACCGATAAAGGGAGGAGAAGAGACTAGGTAGTTCGAGAGCATGCAATCCTTATTGAGTTCGGTTTCTCTTGGGGTGCAAATGGATAAATAGGATTGAATTTGGATCCTTCGGGAGTCTTTATGGTTAAATCAACTCGAAAGCACATTGATGAGGTTAGATTACCAATAGGAGGAAGGGAAACTAGGTGGAATAGAAGTGTTCCCATCAAAATTAACGTATTTATGTGGCGTGCGCTTTTGGATCGGCTTCCCACTCGGGTTAATTTGTTCCATCGTGGAGTAGACTTGGAGTCGACTTTATGTCCGATTTGTATGGTTCGTTGGGAGGAAAGTTCTCAAATGTTCTTTAATTGTGAACTAGCAATACAAATATGGATTCGTGTGGTATTGTGGCTAGGGCTCGACGGAGGAGATGACTCATTGGATTGATTTAAGACCAGTAGCGAGAAACCAAAGGGCTTGTGGACTCTCTGTGTCCGACTTTCATTTGGGTCATTTCGACGTATAGAAATGCAATCACTTTTAGAAATTCTAAATTCTAAAAAGATTTTATATGAGATTGTATTAAAAATTTGTATTTTAATTGCAATTGTTCTAGGAATTTTAAAAGTAGGATTATGTGGAATGTTTTGCTACAATCGTTGATCCAACCTTAACCTTTGTACTAGCTAGCTTTTTTTTTTTGGTTTCGTGTGTTTATTTATTGTTGATGTTCCAAAAAAGAACTCATATGGCACAAGTGGGCAACCATGGGGATATTATGAGAAGTATAATATTTTTAGTTTACCTCTCGAGCATTTTTGTAATTTATTACTTCGATGCACTGCTCTTAATTAGTTGCTTTTATTTAGTTAGATTGACAAAAACGTTTGAAAAACACAGAACACCACAAAAGTCCAACATTTTGGACCTAGGTCGACCAAGCTAGACCTTCATGGCTTCATCAAGCATTATTGACATAGATGTGGGCCATGCATTTTTTTTACCCTGGCTTAAAGGTGCACAAATAACAGTTTTTTAAAACATGTATTAGACTAGAGGGTATGGTGCGGTTTGGGACCGCACCTTGGTGCCACATCAGCAGCGAACACCGCCCCTAGGGTGCGGTTTCCTGCCATTGAGACCGCAGTGCGGCCTTTGAAGACCGCGAATTTTGATTGGTGGGTCAAATTTTTGACCGTTGAACGCTAATTCCGTCTTTTTTTTTTCCTTCCTATATATATACACATATCAAACTTAATTTTTTTCACAACACAATCTTCTCTCTCTCAAATTTTTTTTTTTTTTTTTTTTTTAAAATCACCACTCTCCAAAAAATGTCATCTTCTTCATCTTCTGAAGAATTTCAGACTATTTTTGATACCGCTATTGCGTGTGTTCAAATGGCGGAACAAACATACAACGTTGTATGTAACAACGCAGCTGCAAGTTCTCAACAGAGAACACGAAGATACATTTATAGAAATCGTGAAGAAGCCAACCAACGTTTGGTGCAAGACTATTTTGCAGAGAATGCCACTTACCAAGGGTATTATTTTCGTAGGCGCTTCAGAATGCTCAAATGTTTATTCGAACGTATAGTTGAAGATGTAACGAGGGAGTGCAGTTTTTTCCAACAACGCTACGATGCTAGAGGTACACCCGGTTTCACTCCGTTACAAAAATGCACGGCCGCACTTCGTCAGTTAGCATATGGCATTCCGCCTGATGCGTTAGACGAAAGTTTTAGGATGTCTGCTAGGACAGCACGAGACAGTCTCCATTTTTTCTGCAAAACTGTCATTCAGTTTTATGGTCCAAAATATTTACGTAAGCCTACACGTAATGACATCTTGCAATTGCAAGCTCATCATGCTAGTGTGCATGGGTTTCCTGGAATGCTAGGAAGCTTAGATTGTCTCCATTAGGCATGGGAAAATTGCCCTACTGCATATCATGGGCAATTTACACGAGGTGATCATGGTCACCCAACGGTGGTACTTGAAGCAGTTGCATCACAAGATATGTGGATTTGGCATGCTTTTTTTGGTTCTCCTGGTTCGATTAACGACATCAACGTTCTTAACCGTTCACCAATATTTAACAACATATACGATGGATCTGCATCAGATTCTTCTTTTCAAGTGCATGGAACGCCATATAAGTATGGTTATTATCTGGTCGATGGAATCTATCCTGAGTATGCTGTGTTTGTTAAGTCGTTTTCAGCTCCACATGGTTCTAGACGAAAGAAATTCAAGAGAGCTCAAGAAAGAGCTAGGAAGGATGTTGAGCGTGCTTTTGGAGCTCTGAAGAAACGGTGGTTCATACTGAAAAAACCAGCAGCTTATTTGGGCGAGGAAAAACTTCAAGAAATCATGTATACGTGTATTATATTGCATAACATGATTATTGAAGACGAAGGAAGAGCGATATGTGCGTTTGACGAGGAAGAAATCATACCAGAGACACAACCAATAGAAATTGGTGGCGAAGAGTATATAAACAGGAGAGCAGAGATACGTTGCACCGAAACATTTCACAATCTTCGCAATGACTTGGTGGAACACATTTACGGGGTTCAAAACATTAACCTTAATTTGGATCCACCGGATGACCCTGAAGATGAGTTCTCGGAGAACGACTTTATGTAGTTTCCTTTAGTTATTTTCTTTATGTTTTTTAAGTTTTTAGGGTTATTTAAATGTCATGTGTGTGTGTGTGTTTTTTTTTCCTTTTTTTTTTGGTAACGCAATGTACTGTTTTTTTTTTTTATTTTCAAGTAATGAAGAATTATGTTTTTTTATTAAAATAGAAGGTATATTAAATTAAATTAGTTAAAAAAGAGAAGTTTTATTAAATTAAAATACTTAAAAAAATGAAAAAATAAAAAAAATGAAAAGTGTGGCACCACACCCTTGGTGTGGCAAGAAACTACACTTAAGTGGTAAAAGATGACATGGCGCTGATGTGGCGGGGAAGGGAGTGCGGTTTCGGTGGCACCACTCCCTCCAGCCTTATCTTTGACCGTTTTTCGTTATTTTGAAGTAACATTGCATTAAAAGTTAAAACAGTTCGGTTTGGTTTTTTTTTTATTTAGGAAAACCAGTTTCCAAATTTTATTTAAACATATTAGTAACTAATTGTTCAATTTTAGTTAAACAAATTATTTAAAAACCGTTTTTTTTAGCTTTAAAAAAACAGTTGGCTTTGGGCACCACT